GTTTCCTCTGGTTGCTATGAGGCACGTGACACAAAGACAAGACAGAAGGCAGGCGGAGGGTGGTGGCCAGCAGGTAAGCTGATGAAGTTAAGCCTACAGGACAGGGCTGTCCTACGACTTCTGGGAGAAGGGGTGTTGGGGTTGGGATGAAAATATAACTGGCTGGTTTTGTTTCTTCAGCAGGTTTGGGCTGGCTGGTTCTCCTTTAGCCTTCCCTGCAGGTTTGGTCTCTCTTCCACATGGATGTTGCTCAAACATATAAACAGATCCTTCGAAGGCGTTCCCAGCATCCCCGTACCTTCTTCCTCACCTTTCGGCCCCTTCCCCTTCCAAATCCAGGAAGAGCTCTTGGCCCTGCCCCTCGATCTTGACCAGTACTGAGCCACCCAGGGACCACACTGCAGGTCACAAGGTGAAACGCTAGGGTCTCTGTCATGGGGCCGAGAGCTGAGCAGGGAGCCACCTCTACGGGGGTAAGCTTGCCATCAACCTCCTTGTCCACTACAGCCTCAGCTCTCCACCAATCCCAACCACTCACCCATACCCCGCCCCCAGCATCCTCCCCAACGCTGGCCTCGCGAGCTGGGGTGCAGCCGGAAGTGGCCCCGGGCCGTGCTGTCCCGCCCCTTCCGGGACCTCTCTAGGCCGCAGAGCCCTGTTTCGGTGGCCAGCCGTAGCGTCTCACTGCTCCATGGGGCAGCGGCGCCACCTGGCGGGCCCTGGGCACAGCGCAGAAGGCGAGGCGTCTCCCCACCCCCTTTCCGGCTCTCCCGGTCAATTTGGGGCTGCTAACGCCTTGCCTGCCTTCCCTTCTCCTGCTTCCAGCCCAGGTCCTGGCCTCCGATTGCCAGGCACTCTGTAACATAGAGGCCCTCGGTCCAGAGAGCACCCCGCGTTTGGCGTCCTCTTGCTCGAGGCGCCCTGTCGCCCTTGCTCGCACCTGACCCCAGCCCACCAGGCTGTCCTCTGACAGAGCCCAGACTCAGAACAGTCCCAGTGACACCACCCTTTGCCTTCCTCGGCCCCAGCAGAGATCAGACACAGATTCGAGTGGCTCTTCGCTGCCCCCTTCCCTGCTCCCTAAAGGCCCTTGTCGGCTGACTCCCTTACGGGTTTGACCTCAGTCTAGCCAGGCTGTGGAGAGAGCTGAGTAATACTTGGAGGAGCTCTCAGACCGCTTAGTCAGGTGTGGCCCTGGAGCCTGGCCCCTTCCTCTGCTCTCTGCTCTGGGGCTCAAGATCAGTACTCACCTGCCCACCTTGCCCAGGGTGGAGGCCCAGGCCTCTTGGAGGACCTCCTCTTCCGCTCTGCCCCGAGCTTTCCTGCCTGCCTTCCTTCCAGGCACCATCCAGGAACCCTTCCAGGACTACCCTGCAGCCTCAGGGCCTGGGAGCAGGGCCATTGAATGATGGTCCCTGGGTAATGTGTCTTGTGGGTCCCTGCACAGGCCTGACTCTGGCTGTTGATCGCCAGGGGGCACCAGAAGCAGACATGGGGAAACAGGCTGCTAGCTAAGGTTGTCCAGGCCCGGTTGTCTGAGACCTGATGCATTTGCAGCCTTGTATGGTTTTGAAAGCAGTATTGTTCTTTCAGATTTTTTCCAGGGCCACTCTTTCTTTCTAAGGCTTTCTTAGTCAATTATCACTGCTCAAAACTGTTTGAAAGTCAGTGGCTGGATGCCTTTACGCTGGGCTCAAGGTCAACATCTGCATGAGTCCCCTGGATCTTGCCACGTGCTCCTTGCTATCCCTGGGCTGTATTTGGGACTCACTGTGTTCTAACCACTAGCGCTTGGCCAGGAGATGCAAATCTCCAGTGTGGGCCGCTACAATGTGGAGGCCCACACCCGCATTGTGTGGCAGCTGTACTTTGGAGTACAATCAGCATTTCCAACTCTATACTGGCCTCCTCACTGATCTCCTTCCAAGCCTGCCTCTAACCTAGCCTCCTGCAGTGGCTCTTCCATTCCTAGACACCCTTGAAGTCACCCTGATTTGTCTCTGCCACTCTTCCCATATCCAGGGATCAGGGAACCTGCCACCTCTGCTTTCTGGACAAGCCCAGAACTTACCCCAACTCTGCTGCCACCTGGGCTAAGCTTCCCAACATGACTGTTTGGAACAATAGCGGTAACCCATGTGTCAGTTTGACCTTTTTCTTCCACCCCACCCCAGAGTCCAGCCTCAATGAAGCAGCCAGAGTAATGCATACAGAACTACCAAATCAGATCCTGCTCCCTCCCTTCCTCTCTTCAAGACCCAGCTTTGGCTCTCATCTTCCCTTTGAAAAACTCAAAGTGTATAGTGGCTGATAGGGCCCCATATTGTCCCCCATTATCATCAGCCCTTCTATCCTCTCCTGCCTTACCCAGCCACATGGCCTTCTGGCTGATCCTCTCATATGACAGGTACGTTTGGCCTCAGGGCTTTGCACTGGCCTGATCCCACAGACTGGAACATTCCCCCGAAGGGCTCCACATGGCTTCTTCTCTTTCCTAGTTTCTATTTTAGTGAGGCCCACCCTGATCCCCCTCCCACCCCCTGTTTCCCATTGCCCTTGCCTTGATGTTTTTACTGCCCACTGTACTGAGTATCTTCTGATCTTTTTTTTTTCCTTCTGATCTTTTTTGAGACAGGGTCTCATTGTGGATTCCAGGCTGGCCTTGAACTCACTATGTAGCCAAGGCTGGCCTTGAACTTATGGTGAGCCTCCTGTCTCGGCCTCCTGAGTGTTGGTATTGCAGGTATGCTTCACCAGGATCAACAGTACTGACCATCTTCTAACCAGCAATATAATTTAGTGGTTATGTTTACTAGCTCTGTTCTGAACCTAGTTCCACATCTAGTATGGAGGTGCAAAAGGCAGAGGTCATCACTTGGCTCCCGCTTGTACTTCAGTGCTATAAGAGTACTGGGGCCTTACAGACTCTCAGTATATAGCAGTAGAATGACTGAGGGTATGGCTCAGTGGTAGAACACTCACCTAGCTGCAAAAGACCTGGTCTCAAACCCCAGCACCACAAAAACAAAATATGTGTAGAATAAACGAACCTCTTTTCAATTGAAAGGTGAATGTGTGCATGTACACGTGCATGAGGAGGGTGTGCGCAGGAGGATCAACATGCTTCAGTCCCTTTTTTTAGTCTGCATTATCTTCAACTTTTACAAAAAGCAGCCACAAGAAAAAAAAATGAAAAGAAACACAGATGACCCTTGTGCTGGACTTTCTGGCTGCTCTATTGTGTCACTATTCTAAATAAAACAAAATTTTTCGATTTTGGAGGGGTATTAAGGATCAAACCCTGGGGTGCTTTACCACCAAGCTTCATCTCCAGCCCCCTTTTTATTTTTAATTTTGAATCAGTGTCTCATTAAATTGCCCAGGCGGGACTCGAACTTGCCATTCTCCTGACTCATCTCCCTAAATGCAGAGATTACAAGGCATGCACTACTGAGTTTGGCTGGAATAATTTTTTAAAAGTGTAAAGAGGCCAGGGATGTAGCTCAGCAGCTTCTTGGCAAGCTTGAGCCCCTGAGTTTGATTCCCAGTACCAAAAAAAAACACAAAAGCATAAAGGAAGGAAAAACCTGTAAAATTTTCAAGGCACAAGAACATGCATGCTTAATGATGCTCAAAGGCCTGCCTATCCATCCTCACTGGAGCTGTATATGGCTGGAAATTGGCAGGGACAAGGGACACATTTTCACACAGACATATTGGCATATGGCTCTTGAATCTAGGTGTGGGCACATTACCTGTCCCTATCCTGATGGAGGAGTCCTGACTGGGCAGGCAGCTGTGGGCTGGGGCTAATATTATCAGATCCTCCTGGTTAGGCCTGGTACCCTCTGCTGCTCTGTCCTATGCCTTCTGTGGATGGAGTATGTGAAAAGACTCCCAAAGCCTGCCTACAGGACAGATTCTGACCTTTTTTGTCCACATACTCCAGGAGCCAAGGGTTCCCCACATGATGGGGAAGAGCCCAGAGATTCCTGAGAACAGCCTCACTACAGGGTGCCATGGGCTGCATTCACCTCTAGGCCAGTGTCCAGCTCTTTCCTGGGGCCTCAGGACTCCTGAGTGATTCTCCAGGCAGGAGTCAGGTGCCTGGGGCTGATGGGAATGGGACTCAGGAAGTTCCCCTATGCCCAGCTGGCACTGCCATGGGCCAGGCAGCCACCAGCTTGAGTAAGCTCTTTCCCAAGCTGGCAGCTGCATTGCAAGTTAAAATTGGACCCTGGTGCAGGGTCTCTCCTAATGAGGTTTTGGTTTTTTTTGGTACCCGGGATCGAACTTGGGTCCTTGTGCTTGCGCAGCAGGCAGCAAAACCACTGAGCTAAATCCCCGGCCCTCCTAATGAGGTTTTGATGCCAAGGCCTGGGCAGCTCATCCTGCTGTGCTGCAGCTGCTTTGGGTCTGCCAGAGGCAGGGGGCCGCTTCCTAGTTCACCCAGGCAGGACACTTGAGCTGCTTACCTCCTTGCAGCCTCTGTGGGGCCTTGGACTCCCCCCACCCCCAACATACCTTTATTTGCAGTGGATTTTACTATAATAAAAAAGATCAGCTCAACAGGACACAAAATCCCTCGACTTTGGTCCCCAGATTCAAGACATGAACAGAGGGTTGACATGACAGCCTGGAGCCAAGTGAGAGCAGGGGGCCTTTCCTGGGGCTTCTGCAGGGCTCAAACCCTCCATGAAGCTGCTGGGAATGCACCTCACGTTGCCTCCTTCCGGAGGCCTCTCTCTGTTCCGCTTCCTGGAGCCTCATTAATTCCTTCCCACCTCACCCGTGAGAAAGCAGGTCTGTGCTGAGCTTGGCTCAGGCCCAGCCTGGAGCCGGGTCTGATGCCACTGGTTGGTTTAGGAGGAAGGAGGTGGGGGAGGGGGTCTTGCCCTGTCCTCATCCAGGCAAGGAGGTCCTCCATCACCATCCATGTCCTACCCCAACCTCACTTTCCAGAAACCCAGAGGCCATAGAGACCAAGAATATCAATACAATAGGTTTTAAGTATAAGGTTTATAAAAGAGCCGCCAGCCTCCCCAGCCCTGCTCCAGCTGGGCCCTGGGATTTTTAGCTCCCAAGGCAGGACACTGGGCTCAGAGCTTCTTCCCCCAGTAGTGGAATGTGAGCTATGGCCCAGGCTTGTGGTTCGGGGGGCCCAGCCTCCCCGGGACTGGTGATGGGATAGGCAGGGATCCCTTGGTGCCCACAACAGCCCCATCCTCAGCAGAATTTGCTGGTCCTAGCCATGGGGTAGAGTGAGGTTTCCTCCTGGCGGGAGGACAGAAGAAGAGGACAAGAGTATCCAAGGGTATGAGGCCCCATGTCTGAAAGGGGCCAAAGGGATAGAAAAAGGGAAAACAGGTGGGCTAGAGGAGATGAGGCTTTAGGGTGCAGACTCTGGCCTTGCAGCAGGGCGAGGGGTTGGCTACAGGTCTAGCTTCTGACTCTGTGTGCCCTAACAGACCTCAGGAAGCAGCTACTGGGCCTCAGCATATGCAGCTAAGGGCATGATGGGTTTGGGTGGGATCTGAGGTGACAACTCTACCTTGTTCCCAGCTCAGGGAGCCTCTGCAGCTCTACAGCCCCTCAGGTAGTAGCCCAAAGTGTTTGGTCCTGGCTCTTTAAGGAAAACCTTCCAAGGAGAGGAAACAGGCCAAGCCAAATGCCATAGTGTTTAAAAACGTGCCATTCTCCCTTTCTTTTTCCCCTTGACTGGCCACTGGATGGGGAGGGGCTGGGGAGTCCGAGAGGACATGAGGATGAGTAAACAGAACAGGGGAATCCTAGTGGCTTCCTCCGTGCTGGCTGTTTCCTGAGACCCAGTCAATGATGATGAAGCTCAGGCTCATGGTCATCAGCAAGAGGCCAAGCAGAGCGAAACACAGGGCCTGTGGGGCCAGAAGTAAAGGTCAGGTCTGAGATCAGGGCAGCCCCTTAGCCCCACACCAGCCTGCTGGCTTCTAGGCCCCCTCGCACCAGGATTTTGGGGGTAGATCTTGCAGGCTCCTTTTCGGTGGGGATTATTCGGAAGTAGAAGATGGCAGGGAAGATGAAGATGAGGCATGGGGCAGATGTGGCACCTGCAAAGAACAAAGCATGGGCACCATTGGCTCAAGTCAGGCTCTAGGCTGAGATTGGAGCAGACCTTCAGTGAGATCAGCCATTCCTTGTTGGAGCTGTTTTACTGTACTTGGGAGCTCTGCATGGGCCAACCTCTCACCTTGTTCTATGAAGAAGAACAATGTCAGTGAATGAAACCAGCAATGAGGAAAGCAGGTTATGGTAGAAAGATGGATAGGATGTTGGGTTCCAGAATGCAACTTGCTACAGTAGCATTTTTCCCCCTTAGTGCTGGGGATTGAACCCAGGGTCTTTGTGCTGAGCCACACCCCTGAAAACTTTTAAACACTTCAACACAGGACTCACTAAATTGCTAAGTTGCCCAGGTTGGGCTCCAACTTCCAATCTTTCTTCCTCAGCCTCCTGAGTGCTGGGATTATAGGCATGTGCCACCATGCCTGGTCCCAAAGAGATCTTTTTTCTTTTTTGGAGGGGGTGAAGGTGTGTGTGTGGGGGTCTCATTATGTTGCCCAAGATGGCCTCAAACTCTTGGGCTCAAGTGGTCCTCCTGCCTCAGTCTCCCCAAATGCTAGGACTACAGGTATGTGCCACTATGCCCAGCCCAGCCCTGACCTCTGAGGTTCACCTGTGTTCCCCAGCAAGGAAGACTGACTGACTCAATGGTTCTGAGCCTTCAAAAAGGATTGAAGCCAGGCTTGGTGGCCCATGCTTCTAATCTCAGCACTTGAGAGCCTGAAGCAGGAGGATCACTGTAAGCTTGAGGTCAGCCTGGGCCTCAGTGAGTTCAAGACCAGCCTGAACTACATTGTGAGATCCTGTCTTAAAAAAAAAAAAAAGGATTGTCCTTGCAGCCTCAAGGACAAAAGTTCAGATGGGAAGCCAAAATAAAAATGTGAGCATGGCCAGCAGCCATCACTTAAATGTAAGGTGTGAACTCAGGAATTTGCCAGGATTTGTAGAAGCGGAATTGCTCTGAGGCAATACTTTCAGTTTCACAGCAGGGCCAGACTCTTACCAATGATCCCAAAGATGCCCAGGATGTTGGGGGCGAAGATAACCAGCAGGTTGATACAAGTGAGTAGGACAGTGGCAATGAGCACATGCCGAACCCAGCTGAACTCCTGGTTCTGAAATAGTATCTGTTGGATGGCACGGCGCACCTGGGGGCAGGTAGGGACAGCCATCAGCCTGCTGGTCCTGTCAGTCCATCCCCAGGGGCCCCACCATCAGCCCACTGGCTCACCGGGAAGAGAACGATTGGCACCGTGAGTGTGACTGCTGTCAGCACAGCCACGCGAACACACAGGATCAGCACATCAAACGGGTCCACCTGGCTGTAGGTGTGCAGTAGCTCTGACTCCACCCTGTCTGTGGCGAGCAGGGAGGGTGGTCAGCAGGCTAGGGGGCATTGGACTCTGAGCTGCCCGGTGGACCCTGACATTGAGGGGAGTAGTACTCAGACTCATCCCCACAGCTGGAGGGCACAAATCAGGTATCACACACCTAATAAACACCTACAGTACACAAGGTACCATAGCCGCAGTCCAGCCCCTGCTTCCCAGCCTGGCCTCCACCCCTGCCCCTGCTGGTCCAACCATACCGTAGAAAGTGAGATAGCCGAAGAGGGCAGCCAGGAAGTACATGACATACATGACGGTGATGGACAGGTTGGAGACGTGCTGCATTTTCCTCTTTGTGGGGCTGTAGGGCATGGGAGAAGGCTTGGTAACCAGTTGGGCCACACCAGGAAATCCCACAGCCCCCAGTCTCATTGGCATCCTCACTATTCAGCAGCAAGGGCGTCTCTTTCTTACCTCCATCCCCACCATGGCAGCCATGGAGATCTCTGATCAGATGACTGGGGTCTTGTCATCTCCCCTCAACATGAACCCACATCCTTTCTCCCCAAACTAGCTGAGGGCAGTCCCGACCCTTCTCCCAGCCCCAGACACCTACTCCTTGAGCTCTGTATAGATGGGCAGCACCTCAGGGTGGCAGACGAAGGCGAAGGCCATTATGGGGATGGTGTATGCTGTCTGGGGACATATGGGATTGTGTCAAGGGAGCACCCCAACAAGGCCTTCCCGTCCCTGCCCTGGCCTGTTGGGACCTGTGAGTTGAGGGTGAAGTAGCTCGGGGTACAGAGGGCAGCAGCCTCAGGCTCGCCCTGCAGCTGTGCCTTCTCAGCCACCTCCATGTGGCTGAAGTTGCCTGTGATGTTGGTCAAGTTGGAGGGCAACGGGCAGGGCACTTGGAACTTTTTGTAGATGACCTGGGGTGGGGAGAGATGTGGGTATCAGAGCCAGGCTAGGATTCCTGCAAAGTCACCATGAAGCCACATCTAGATTGGGACTGGAGGGGTCACATTCTGACTCAGGCTTCCCAGAGATGCCCTCCCTCTCCGTCTGACAGGGCAATCTGCCCTTCCTTGACCAACATGGAGGATAACTTACTGCAATTAAGAAGAACACCATGCAGCTAAGAGAGAAGCCACTGGAGTAGCCCAGGTAGCCTGCAGAGGGAGGGGATGCTATGAGACTGGGACCACCACTGTCCCTCCAAAATCCCTCCAGGGCCTAGCACTGCTACACCTACCAAGCTGCCGCATCAGTGCCAGGGGCAGAATGACAGTGACAGACACCAGGATCACCAGGTAGTTCCCATTCAGGTACCAGACCCTGCAGGGACAAGAGTATGGAGCCAGGGTCAGAGCCCACTCAGTCTGGGGTGGGACCTCTTGCCTTCCCCAGTTGGAGTTACTATGGGGCCTACTGAGGAATATTTAGCCATATCTCTTAGTCTCCCCATGCCATTCTGCAGAATGGGTGCGCCTCAGAATCCTGTGTGATGTAAGAACAAGGGCTGGGCCTGGCACCTAGCTCTTGCTCCTGACCCTTGCAAATGCAGTCCCTGCTGGTGTTTTTCTGACACATGCAGGCCTGAGCTCAGCCTTGAGGGAGCAGGGAGGGAGGCAGGGATCTGGCTCTGGGAGGAGCTGTGTTTGCCACGGAGTCTCAGGACTTGCTGATAACCTATACCTCTTGTAGTCTCTCCTGGCATCTGGGTCTTGCATCTTCCGCCCCTCCTCTACCCATTGGAAATAGACACAGGGCACAGGGAGACAGGGAGAAAGGGAATAAAGGCCAGGACCATCCTTCTAGGGCAAACCCAAAGGCCAGTTTGTTCTGCATGAGGGGCTGAATCCTCACCCTTTTCTGCCACCTAGAGCTGCTCCCAGCTACACAGCCCTTTTGCTCCCCTGAGCCAGGCTGCCAAGAGCAGAGCCTGCCCATTTCCTCTCTCTCTCCAACCCGCAAAATAAGGTTGGTGCCCAGTGAGTGCTAGCAGTCTGAAGTGATGGGCAACTAGGACACCTGGTTTAATCTCAGGGGGAGGAGGGGAGGCTGACCTCATGATCAGGAATAGCAGGTACTTAGAATTAAGCCCGTGGCTCTTCTGCTCATAGATGGGGCATGGGGGGCACTAGAGCCAGGCAGGGCCCAGATCCTCAGCCTTACCTTACCCTTTGCCCCATGTGCTTCTTCCTGGCAGGTTCCAGGAGGGGGCACATAAACAAGTAGGAACTGAATGGTGGCTCTGCTGGCACCTCTAGTGCCCCTCCATCAGTCGTGTGTTATGTTTTCTTTTCAGCCGTGTGTTTTCTCTTTCTCCCCCACAAGCCCAGTCTGGGCCTCTGAGGTCTGTGGTGTACATGGGGGGACTAGGGCCTCCCACCCTCACCCGCCCTGGGCTCACAAGGTCTGCTTCTCCAGGTTCAGGAAGGTGAGTATGACAAGAGGCAGCTCAGACTTGATGATGTACAGGTAGCTGGACATGGCTGGGGAAAGGGGGCAGGTGCTGGGGTCAGGTGAACCAGTGAGGCTTCAGACCTGTCCACCTCCACTACCCTCCACCTAGTCATCAGCCTCACCTCCAATGTTCTGTAGTGTGATGGCCAGAGCTGCCACCAGCTTTCCAGGGGTCCCAAAGGCACGGTAGCCCAGCTGCTCATAGGCGCGGATGCCTGTGGGAACAGGGGTCAGGACAGGCAGGGGAGCTGGCCCATCCAGCCCAGCCCCATCCCTCTGTGGGCTGGTGGGAGGCTCACCCACAATCCCAGAGGACTTGAGAAGCAAGTGGATGGAGTAGCTAGAGAGCAGGGCGATCGCCGTCAACAGGAACCTGGGGAAGATGGAGAGAAAGCGGCCCCTGGCTGGAAGAGGGAGGGACTCAAGGAAGCCTTCATGGAGAGGTTATCTGTGACCTGAATGTTTAAACCCCAAAAGGTGTGGATTCAAGCTCAGCAGGCCCCAGGAATGGTGAAAACCACACTATTTGACCCAGGCAGGACATGACCCAGAAGGGACCTCAGGGTCAGGAATGCCTGTGACTGTCCTCTGAGCACCACCTCCCTTGGTGTCCCTGGGACAAACATGTTTTCTATTCAGGCTGTAGGGCAGAGCCCCCAGGTCAAGGACATGTGTGCCCACAGAGGCCTGGCCATGGGGTTCAGCTGTCATGTGTAAACGTTGTCGCAGCACAGACACAGGCCTGTGATGGTGGCTCCGTGTTGTGACTTCAGTGGGTTTACTGGGCATAGAGGTATATTTATCTGGCTGTGGGTGTTTTTGCAGCTGTGGTTTGGACAGGGAACTGGGAGGGTCCTGGGAGGTCATGGTGTGTGGCTTGTTCAGGGATCCCATCTTCAGGAGGTTTGCTGAGGGCACTCACAGGAAAAGGATGATGCCTGTGTTGGCCATGGCATAGGCGAGCCCCAGGATGCCACTGCCCATGATGGCGTTGCTGAGGTTGAACACTGACATCCCGAATGATGTTTTCCCCTCGAACTGTGGGCACCAGAGTGGGGTGGGGAGGCATGGGGAATCAGCAAGGTGTGGTGGCATCTTGGCCTTCCCCTCCCTGTCCTTTGGCCTCCTGTTGCTGCCCCAGAGCACCTCATTACTGTGTCCAAGCTCCCCACACTGCCCCCAAGCCCTCAGCCGCCCAGCTCACATCTGTGAAGTGCGGCTCCTTGCTGGGGCTTTTCTGCAGGAAGCCTTTGCTCTCCACACAGCTCTGTCTGGGGTCCTCCACCCTGCAGGCACAGGCCAGGGGAAGGGGGCTCAGCTCCAGCCCTGGGCTCTGTGCCCTTGTCTTGTGCTGTCCTTAGCCTCCACTGGGTTCCTCTTCTACTTACCTCTGGTTGTCGGCTTCAGGAATACCAACTGGGAGCAGCCCCTCCAAGTGTCTGCCATTGGGCACCAGCTCTACCATCTCCGTCTGCAGAGGCGCGTCCATGGCTCAGGACCACCCCAGAAGCACCGCTCTCACACCAACACTGTCAGGTGTCTGTGGAGCAGCATCAATCCCTCTACTTATTTCTCCCCTTAGGCCCACACTCCATCTCCTACCCCAGGCAGTGGCCGTAGCACACCTCCCAGAAGGTCGCCCAGGACACATACATACAGCTCTGCCAGTCCCTTTCTGCATCTGCCTTTGTGGGTGCAGAGCTTGGACACCCAAGTTCCCCACCTTATACATCCCCTACACACACCAGGCCAGGCAAGTCATTGGTCCTGTTTCTCCATCTGTGAAGAGAGGGTCATCTGGATAATCTGAGTTGGGAGCTCAGTAGGATCAGGACTGCTGGATGCAGAATCCTAGGCCTTCAGACCCCAGTTGAGGCATCCAACCTGGGCTGCCTCTCCCTGCACAGAAGTCCTGGGAGGTAGTTTCCTGCCCTTTTCCTGCCAGGGGCTTCCTGGCCAACCTAGAATGGCACTGCCTGATGGCTAGATGCCCCGGGAGAGGGTGAGGGCTGTGGGCCCTGTTCCCAGCTGCCCGGCGGGCACCGCTGGCAGCCAGAACAAAGGGTCCTCTGTGGGCTGTGAGCTGGCACTGGGAACTGCAGGCACAGAGGCTGCCCCCTCCCCTGAAGCCAGGAGGCCTGAGGCAGTGCTGGGTAGCTGGACACCTGGGCCCTTCCCGCCTGGGTGTGGGGCATTTCCAGGAAATAGGTGTTAGAGGTCCCAGTTCTATACCATACAGTCCTCATCCTCCACCCAGCCTTGGCCTTGAAGCCCTGCTCTCCTTCCAGCTTCTCCTCTCCTGCCAGGGAGCCCCAACCCTCAGGTGCCACCACCCAGGGCTACATCCTCTCAAAGGTATTGGCATAGCTGGTTGCTTTGAGCCCCTGGCTGGAAGCTCAGGGCCTCGGCCAGCTGAAGAGGAGCCTGGATTGCCAGATCAGTGTCCCTTCTTGGTTCTCAGGGCTTGGCTCTGTGGGGCCTCAAAGGATCCAGCTTCTCTCCTCCTCCTCCTCCCTGGCCCAAGCATGGCCCAAAGGACTCACTGGGCCCTCTCCCACCATCAAGGCCAGGACTCACCTACCCCATGCCCAGTAGGTGTCTGGGAACAGTGAACCTAGGGTCTATAGGACATCGTGGAGGTCACACCAGCAGCTAGCAGGAGAACTGAGCCAGGGTAGGGTAGCTCTGCCAGAGAGGATGGCAGGAGCCTGATCTTGAGGCCATGCCCCATGCTCTGCTTGGGAATTCTAAATCCTGTCCTAAATATCCCCCTTTCCAGTCCAGACTATGATGGTCTCAGGTTTGCTCGTCTTTTTTTTTTAAACAGGGACTTGCTATGTAGTTCAGACTGGCCTCAAACTCATGGCAATCCTGCCTCAGCCTCCCAAGTGCTACGATTATAGGTGTACACCACCACATCCAGCTCAGATCTGAACTTGAAACTTGAACTTAGTGCTCAGGGCTAGAGTGAAAAGGGGAGCTGGAAGCCAGGCATGGTGATGCATGCCTGTAATCTCAGCACCGAGGCTGAGGCAGGAGCATTGCAAGCTCAAGAGTCAGTATGGGCAACACAGTGAGACCCCATCTGAACAAAAAAAAAAAGGGAAAGGAGAGGAGAGGAGAAAGAGCAGGAAAGGCAAGGCCAAGCAAGGGGAGCTGGGCTTCGGTCTCACGTCATGATCAGAGGACCTCTCCTCCATCAGCCCAGGCTAAAACTCAGATCTCTGCACCGCAGCCCTGCGGACCCCACACTTGGCACCATACCTGCCTCTGCCACTTCGGCCACCAGCCCACTCATGACAATGTCCATATCTCTGCCTGGCCACTTCCCAGAGGGCAGCCTATCCTCATGCCTCTGTGCCATTTGTGCCCCTCCGCACCCCACCTGGCATGCGGGTGGCAGTGCTGGGTCTCCAGAATCTCTCCAGAGAGCCCCCTGGCACTGTTTCAGACTGCCTTTGCCTGGTCTGGCCCAGGGCAAGTTGGGACAGGCCCTCTAGAGTGCTGAGTAGGCAGCGGGGACAAAGCATCATTTTCTGCCACAGTGGCTGGTGCCCGGCTGGCTTGGGCTGCTGTGGGTAGGAGTGCATCAGGCTCTGGCTAAGGTGTTTCAGGAGGACACTAACAGCCAGGCACTGCTTCCAGGGTCAGAGCAGAGCTGTGGAGGTGTGTGAGGGTCAGGGTCCCTATCCACCCTACCTGATGGGGGCCCAGACTCCAGAAGCTGATGGCTGTTCCTGCCAGTCATTGCTGACTCTCAGGCCCCAGAGAGATATGGAATATGCCACCTCAGTGGCCTCCAGTCTGGAAGGGATTGAAAACAAATCCCAAAGTCTACCCTTCCATACTACCCTGGAGCTCCTATACAACTGAATGTGAGCCACATTGTGCTGAGACTCAAAAAAGGGGAAATGGCAGTGACTGGGGCTGTAGCTCAGTGATAGAGCCTTTGCTTAGCATACATGAGACCCTGGGTTCAATTTTCAGCACTGGAAAAAAAAATAGTTGAGGTGAGAGGGAGATGTCAAGAAGGGTTTCCTAAAGGAGATGATGAAACCAGTCCTCACATTCCCGTAGGAGCTCCTGAGATACCAAATAGGAAAGAATCTCAAAAAGAAGACAAAGTTTGGGCAGAGGCCCTGAGGTGTGGTACGAGGTGAGGGTGGACTGGAGATTCTGTGGCTACAGACATACATGCCTGGTACAGCCTTAAACACCAAGGTCTTTACTCTAGTCAAGGGTGGGCCAGAGGGCTGGGGGGTCAGTGGAGAATTAGGTCTGGCCTCACTTTGGGACCCCAGCCATTCCCGGAGACTGCTAGCCCATCTTTGACTGCAGCCACCCCTCAGGCCTACTGCCTCCCAGGCTCCTGACCCCTTGAGTTAGGGCAAACTCAGGGGAGAGCCCCTGAAGACAGGAAGATACAGCAAAGCCTGGCTCACAGTGGTGTGAACCTGGGCCATAGCCTGAGGCTGTAGCCTCACCTGGCCCAGCCTCAGTTGTGTGGCCATGGGCAGAGCACCCCCCAGTCAGGACCTCAGTATCCCCCAAAATCTAGATGTCCTGTGCAGACACAGTGAGGAATCTCCATGGGGCCTTTGTCTCCAGAGCAGGCCATGAGTGCCCAGAGAAGGGTCAGGCATTAGGCAGGGAGATCACCGTGACCTTGCCCAGGTCATCAGAATTGTATTCATCATAGCAGCAGCGTGGGCCCAGGCAGCAAACCAATAGCCTGGCCCACCGCTCTGGGACCTGTTTGTTCTGTTGGGAGATAAGAGCCAGGAGTGGCAGGTGCCACAAGATGGTGCAGCAGGTAACACTTGCCCACGTGGGCATCACAGAGTGAGAAGCCACATGCTGCAGGTGTTGAGTTTGGCTAATTTAAGACTTCCTGGCCTAGGAATTCAGGCCACAAAGGGGTGGCTGCTTGCATCAGCTAATATAGAAAGCCTACCCCTCTGTCCTGGAGTCAAAGTCCTTGAAGTCCCTAGGGCTCTGAGCCCTGATTTCCTCCCCAGTGCTTAGGAACTTAAATGGGGCTGCAGTGGTAGACTGGCTACAGGGAGAAGCCACTCTGTCCTTCCCTTGGTCCTATGGCCATAGGCATCAGTGGGAACTTACAGCAATAGCCCAGGCTTTCTGAGTCTGAGAAGCCCCAGTTCAGCATACACTGGACAAGAAGCTTGAGGGTCTGCTGTGATTATCTCTGAGTAAGGACTGTTTCTACTCCTAGCTCAGCCCATCCTCACCACCCTCCTCCTTGGCTGAGAAGGGTTCCCCTCCCAGCACCCATCTGGACAACTACCCCTCTGCCCATCTGCTTCTCCAGGCTTCCAGAAAAGACACCCCCTTTGACAAACCAGGCACAGTTAACCACAGGGGTTGTGGAGAGCTGATGTGGAGGTCAGGGGTGAGGGCTATCAGTGGGAGGCCATTAGAACAGGAGAGAGTACTAAAAGACACCCCTTCCCCTTCCCCTGGGTCACAACTCCAAATTTTGGTCCCAGTCTCTTATCTGCCACTCTCTCACTGTCAAAAACAACATGACACCACACAAGTGGAAAGTGTGCAATCAGCACTGGACTGGTTCTGAAGGAATGATATGCATGAGGGCACATCTAGGGAAAGACTGATGGCCCAAGATTGGCATCTGGTCACACAAATCTCTCATCCCCCAGCTCTCTCACCCTGGGATCTGGGGTCTGCATTTCTGTGTTCTCAGCATCCGGAGGTACTTAGGAGGATCTGAGAGGTCCAGCTGGGGCCGGAAGGTAGACTTTCCTGTGACAGGGTACATTTCCTAGAAGCCCAGCTGGTGCTTAATGGCCACCTCAGCTTTCCCTCCCACTCAGCCCTGGACCCTCTACCCTCAGGCTGCCTCCAGCAGAGGTTACAGCCAGGGCGTCTGGGTTCAAGACTGGCCAGAGCCAGCAGCAACCCCTCCTCCACTCCATCGCCAGCCTGCTGAGAGGGACGTGCAGCCAGAGGCCCAGCTGAGGCAAAGGACAGGACATCATGTGACTGTGGCCCCCCAGGGGCAGGGGAGACCCTGCGCCAGCCAACCCATCTTCCTCCCTGCTGACCCGGAATCCCCTGGAGGCAGCCAAATATTTTGACAGCCGGATTTCTAGCCCCAAAGAAAGCTGGAACACAGGTCTCGGGCAGCTCAGGACTCATTGGAGACCCTGATGGGGGTGAGGCGGGGCAGGAGGGGCTGTCTAAAGGCAAGGCCAGCCTGGAGGAGGGATGATATCCAAAGTCAGGAAGAAGCAGAGAGACCAGGCAGAGAAAACACACACATTCAGTACATGCACTCATGTACACTGATCTAGACAGACACATAGAAAGAGGCCCAGGGAACTAGAGAAATGTAGATGGATACAGGACACAGAGAAAAGCACAGAGACAAAAACCATATGCAGATAGGTGGATAGACATTCAGAGAGGGAGACACACAGAAAACTAGAGAGGTGACACGACTAACCAGTTAGAGATAGCCAGATGAAAAAAGAGACAATAAGACTGCAAAAGATGGCAAGAGACAGCTAGCAGAAGACAAAAGAGGGGGCCGGGGATTTAGCTCAGTGGTTTCGCCACCTGCTGTGCAAGCACAAGGACCTGAGTTCGATCCCTGGTACCAAAAAAGAAAAAGAAAAAGACAAAACAGGCCCCAGAAGGAAGGAGAAAGGGAACCAAGATGCCCACATGAAGGGGGCAGGAGGCCCAGTGGGTGTTGCGGGATGACCAGGCAGAACACCAGGTGACTATCATCTATATCTATCTACTTAATTTATCTATCTATCTATTTTTTTCGAGACAGGATCTTGCTATGAAGTTCAGGCTGGTTTAGAACTTGCTATGTAGATCATGCTGGTCTCAAATTTGAAGTGATCCTCCTGCCTGAGTCTCCTGAGTGCTGGGATCACAGGCATGCATCACACTTGGCTTGGGTGACTCTATAAGAAGGTCACCACTGTGCCTCTAGTTTCTGTTCTCACTGGCCAGTGCAATGACATCCAGAGGGTGGAGCCCAACCCACTAAAGCCACAAGACCAGGCTCAGTGAGGAAGCTCAGATTCCTAGTCCAACACCCAAGGCTTATCTGTAGGAACCATGGAGAAGATATGCAGAGATGACACCCAATTGAAGTGACTCCTGTTTTCAGTGGCCACACATATATGCAGACGTGCTGGCTGGGAGGCTGTGTACAGGACGTAGCCTGCAGAGCGGAAATTCAAAACCAAGTCACCCTAGGCTACTGGCAGGAAAGCTCCTCCTGCCCCAGCAGCTGGTCTTTCCCTTTGGCCCCTAGAAGCCCTGCCTGGCCCTCTAGAGCCGCACCCTGCCTTCCCATGTCTGTCCTCTCTCCAGGATCAAAAGCCCACCTCTTCAGTACTCTTCCACCCACAAAACTGACTTCGTAAGTCACAGAGTAGGTGCTTAGTAAGTATTGTCGAATGGATGGAATGGGTTTAAGGCCCTTGGCAAGCCCTGAGCCCATTTTACCTGCTCTGAGTGGGTCCTGGCTCCACAGGGCCCCCATCTTACTACAAGCATATACTGCACATCTCATCCCAGCTTTCCTTGCACATAGATGCCAAAACTATACCTCCCCATGGCTGAGCACCCACCTCCCTTGCAATCACCTCTCCCTCAAGATGAATGTCTATCCCCACACCCAGCCCAGGGTATGTCCAGTTTGGCTTAGAATCCCTGTCTGACCTAGCCCAAAGACTGTGAACTACCTGCCTGTCTGGTCATGCCTGTTTTGCCATTTTCCTAGGGCTCTGGGGCTACTCACTAGGACAATGGCATGGCAGGAAAAACCAACTCTCGAGGTCTTGCCACCTGGATCCCTGGATGAGGAGGTCAGGTGGGCCTGTGACATGGGCCACAAGCACCAGCACTTGACAGAGTGCCTTGGGAGGCTAGTGAGGACCAGCACTCAGGTAGGATGAAGTTGTGAGATGCGTATTCCCACCCTCCATAGAGACACAGCCCTCTCCTCAACCCCCCAAGAAGTCAGAAATGACTCAGTCATTCCAGCCCTCTCTATCTGGTCGAATCCCCTCCTGATCCTTCCCACCACCCAGAGGCTTCCATGGCTGTGCTGAGTTCCCCCTTTCAAAACCAATGGCCCTTGGATCTCTGTTGCTTTCTGTCTCCCAGACTGAGAGTTCCCAGGGACTGGCCTTGGTGTCAGTAGCTAAGCCTCCATCCCAGTCCTGTTCTAAGGGTCTCTTTCAGGGTAGCCTTAGGCTGGTGGGAGGCAGGCATGGAAGGAAGGATAGGACTTGCAGGCTGAAAGATGGGCACCAGGCTGGGTGTCCTCCACTCTCCTCCAGGCACAAGGGACTTTGACTTGGCCCTCCTCAGGCCTGTTGCAGAACCCACACCCAGGCTCAGGTCGCTGTGGGGGTATGGGCACCCCCCCCCCCCACACACAAAGGTTTGCACCCCAGCCCCCTCCTCCGTTGTAAACAAATGCATGCATCTGCTGTGGCCAATGGAAGGGGCAAATCCAGCAGGGGCGGGGTCATGCAAACCAAGTCTGGGTTCCCTCCCTTAAAACGCGCAGGGCAGGCGGGCTCCAAAGCGCCCAGAGGCCAGGTAGGGAGGAGCGTATACACTTGTCCCGCCCTAAGGCAGCCAGCCACGCGAGCCCAGCGCCTGCCCTCCCCTTGGCCCCACCGCAGATGGCATAGGCTCTGGGGCCAGCATGTACCCCGCGGCCCCTTAGGCTTCCCGGCCCGATCTGCCCTGTTCCCCTGTCCAACGAGGCCGGGATAAATATACCCGGATTCCCGGCGTGCCAGCCGATTGCGCTGCCGTCAGGCGCCCGTCGGGGCAGCGCTCCAGGGACTGCTCTCCCAGCTCTCGGCCGCTCTCCCGGACGGACGCGCTCTCGCTGCCCCACGGACCTGGCTTAGGAAGCTGGCTGGTGCTGCTCGAGCCGCAGGCCCGGAAGCCACTGACCTCCTGCTGTCCAACTTTGCCCTGTAGAGAAGTCCAGCGTCGACGAGGCGCCCCTCCCAGGACCCTGCCTCCAGCTCCGAGCTGGGTCCCGACTGGCAGGGCCGTAGACCTGCACCTAGAGCGCGCGGGACTCCAACTCGCCTGTGGCTGGGGTGCCGGCCGGGGCCGCGGCGGGCCAGCGGAGCAACTCACAGCCCCCTAGGAACCCAAAGGGGACAGCAGGGCCAGTTCAGCCTTCCTGATGCCCCTGAGCTGGTGCGCCGACGTCCCCAGTGGTACCTGGCTTCGTGGGTGGGAAGGCGCGGCACTCCGCTAGCTCCAGCTGGTGCTGTCTGCTCGGCTCCCGGCTGAGCTCAGGGCTGCAACGGCGACAGCGGCGGCTGGGGATGAAGGGCGGCCGGCCCCGCCCCCGGCCCGCCCCCGGCCCGCCCCCGGCCCGCCAATCCCGGGTGGCCCTCGGGAGGAGGGGCTGGTCCGGGGAGGGGCGGGGGCCGAGCCCGGGAGAGCAGGAGCTCGAGGAAACCCCTAGGTAGGATAGCAGAGCTCGGGGAGGGCTCCCTGGAGGCTGGAGTGGAGGGATGCTTCAGACTAAAGTAGACCCTCTTTGAGGTCTCTGGTGTCCTCAACCCCGAATGCTCTGCCTTCATCTTCCTGAAGCCAGAAGGGTTTTTCAGGCAACAGGAGTAGGAACGGGGAAAAGCTTAACTTCAACGATGGGTGCTTTACATGGAGAACTTTCAGACATTACTTATGCAACAAAATTTTCTTTTTTGGTTTTTTTTTTCCACTTTTCTTTTTTGGTACCGGGAATCGAACCCAGGGCTTCACGCTTGCCAGGCAGGCGCTACACCACTGAGCTAAATCCCCAGCCCCCAAATTTTCTTTTTTATCTCTCACCGTTCCTAACCAGTGATGGGAATAAGGAAGAGCTTCCTGGATCATTGTCTTCATACGAAATAGAAGAAAGGCTCATAGACTGGAGCAGGGCAATGAAGGCAGGAGGGCAGCAGGACAACAACAGCAAGGACTAGTCTTGACTGGAGCCTCGCTAGCCAGCTCCCCTTCCTTATTTCTACACAGTAGGAGATACAGCTTGCTGGTGGGAAGTGGGGGCTGGGACTTGGTGCCTTGGGAGAAGGGGTTTTAGGGTGGCATAGTTCTTGATTGGAGGCTCCTATCCCAGCCCTGCTTGCCTTCCACCTGGGGCCCTGATGCTTAGAGGTGGGTGGGTGGGGGCAGGGTGTCAGGTCCAGCCAGCAGGGAGCAGGGCGAGGCATTGATCCTTAGGGGTGAACTAAAGGGGAGAATTCCTAGAACAGCTGTGCCGCTTGCTACTCAGCCACTGGCTCTGATCCGACTAATCTCTGGCCTTCACTCTTCCTATCCAAGCAAGACTTTCAGTGTCCTGTCTGCCCCCCTTTTTGGCACTGGGAGAAAGCCCTCAGAGGACAGAGCTCACCTGTGACCTGCCCTGGGCCCGGAGTCAGGTATCCTGAAATCTAGGGCACTTGGATTCTCTTCCTGCTGAATCAGCACTACTAGAGCCAAGCTTTGGTGTACCTTAGTTTCCTTCTGTGTCACAACAAATGGATGGCTGTCTTTTCCCCTGGCCTGAGGGGAATGGAGTACGAGGAGGATAAGAGCCATGGGCAGGGGGCTCAGTGCTGCCTAGGAGGGTCAAGTGGCAGTGAGGGCTACAGAGCAAGGCACTGGGATGGGGCACTTTCCACAAACCTTAATTTGCTCAACTACTGCCTTGCTGGTCACTAGGCAGTTTGGAAGGGACTGGCTTTGCCTCCTGATCTGGGACTGGCATAATCTCCAGATGTCACTGTTATCACAAAGGGTCATTAGGGTACCACACTCCAAAAGGGCATTAGACAGAGACACCCTGGATGCTCATGGAGCCACCTGCAAAGGGCTGATGTCTCCCATGGGCAATTGCTGAAGGGCCAGACCTGGCTTAGGGTCATCCAGCAGGTGAATGTTAGAGTCTTTGATCCAGACTGGGGGGAGCAGGGACTGACAGGGCTTGGCTGTCTAAGGAGGCTCAGATGCGAGTGTGATATAGGGTCCCTGGCCCAAGTCAGTTGTGGCTCCACCAGGGCAAACACAGTGCTGAGGTCTTTCTTACCACCTGCCGAACCTTCCAGCCCAGCCTGCAGTGACTTGTCAGCTGGGCAGCTGGGACAGGGCTCTGAGACTGGCAGATACTATCTCCCAGAAGCTGGAGGGAAGGTCCATCTATGAAGCAGCAGTTCTGTGAGAGATGTCTGGAGTGGGCAGAGGGGCTTTATCTCCAGCATCAACCTAGTTCCTTCCTTCACTCCCCCAGCACAACATCTCAAATCCAGGGCCAGGAGACTGCCAGACACATGGAGCAGAACTTAGGGCCCTGGGTTCACTTAGACTCTCCTGTCATGGTCACAGCAGCCCTTTTGCTCTCTTTCACCTTCTAGTCATAAACTCTCAGTCTCCAGCAGGTTGGACTCTTCTGACCATGCCACCACCTCCACTGGTACACCATCCACATGACACCCCAAGAACCTCTCCAATAGTGAGGCCTCAATCCTAACCTCCATCCCAGTGCTTCCTAGAGCCCAGCCTCTGGATACATTGGCTGCATGGGTCCCCTGGAAGCCCCTGCCCTTGTACCCAGCTGGCCTCCCTGATATCCTCCAACTTGCTCCCATCTGGCTTCTCGCCCTCCATGGCCAAGCTGGCCAACATGGTCTAGTCCCTGTTGTTTCCAGAATGCACCAGCCTTCATGCTTCTGTGCCTCTGTCTCATGCTCCATGCCTGGCCCCTCCCCCTTGGCAAACTCCTACTTGTCCTTTAGCACCAAAGAGATCACCCCTGAGAACTCTGCCTCATCACCAGAAGAGCCAGCTATTCCATACTCACTACAGCTGCCTTACCATCCACCCACTGTCCTAGCATCAGCATCTCAGTGAGCTATGTATAGGAAATCTAGATGGGAAAGTGCCCTGCAGGATGCAGGTGCACATCAAAGGAAGCCTAAGCCAGGTGTGGTGGTACATGCATAATCCCAGCGCTCTGGGAGGCTAAGGTAGAAGGGCTGCAAGTTCAAGCCCATCCTGGGCAATTTAATGACTTGGTGATGCCCTGTCTCAAAAATAAAATAAAATATAAAATGACTGGTGGTGTAGCTCACCGTGAAGGCGCTGGGTTCAACTGCCAGTACCAATTAAAGAAAAAAAGGAAAGCCCAAGGAGAAGCAACCTGTAGGCTTGGGTCTGCCAAGAGAAAGGAAGGAGGGAGTGGTAAAGGGCTTTGTGCTGGGGCCAGGGCAAGACATGCTGCCAGAGTCATGCTTGGGGTGAAAGCCTCAAGGGGAGTGATTCTGGCTCTACACCCCAGTCTTGAGGATTTAGCTCCACACCCTGACTACATTCGATTCCATTGGATTCCATTGTTTTGGCAGCTTTTGCCTTTTGAGGTTATTGTCTCAACACAGGTTGTGGAAGTGTGGAGGGGACTGAGAACCCTTCTATGCAGCCTTCCCCAGCAGGGCCCTAGAGCAGGTGGCCTCCTGCTGAGGCCAGTCCTGCAGCCTGGCATGTCCACCCTTTCCCCCAGAGATTTGGCCCCCAGCTTCTCTGGCCACTGAAGCAGCTTAATGAGCCCAGGTCACATGGGCAGTGCTGCTGACTGTGGGGAGGGCCCAAACTCCCAGTGGTCATCTGGGCAGGCCCTGACGTCAGTGGCATTAGCCGTCCACCAGGCTTGTCTAATCTCTGGTCAGCAGCTGGGCCAGGTTAGTCCTGTCAGAGCCAGAGCTGAAGACCACGGGGGCCTTCAGGGACACCTTGAGGTACCTGCAGGTGAGGCAGAGATGGTGGTGGCCCATGATGCACCCAGTAAATGCTCCCACCTACATATAGGTGCAGCCACAGTGCTGAATCTGAGCCAGCTCTCTGATCCTCTGCCTTGGACTGTGAATCAGGCATCAGGCACCCAGTCATCCATTGATCTTGCTCCTCAGGGTGTAATTACACTGGTGTGGTGAATGAGGCTGAGGAGGTTTCACACTGGGAGACTCAGGGGCCCCCACACTTGCTGGTCATGGACAGGGCAGCTCAAGGCAGGATCCAGCAATATCAGTCCGTAACCCTAGACCCTGCAGTCAGAACCATCTGTAGACAGTGACGTCCAACCTCTACACAGTGGGCTGGCTTTTCTCTGTCACATGCCCAGAAAGGCTGGGGAACTTTTTCTTTCTTTCTTTCTTTCTGTCTTTCTTTTTCTTTCTTTCTTTCTTTCTTTCTTTCTTTCTTTCTTTCTTTCTTTCTTTCTTTCTTTCTTTCTTTCTTTCTTTCTTTTCTTTC